TGCATGCTGGATATCAGCGAGGAAGAGAGGCAGGGCGAGGGAAAGTGTAATAGAGAGAATGAAAGGAAGGGAGTGAATGTAGGGCAGTGGGGAGGAGGCCTGACAAGAAAAGAAAGAAAGAGGGAAAGAAAGGAAGGAAGTGGGGGAGGGAGAGGTGGAACAGTGGAGGAGAGACGATTGGCCGAGGACCAAAGATGAGAGGGGAGAAGCTCACTGACAGGGAGAGAGAGAGAGCGATAGAGAGTGAGTGAGGTGAGAGAGAGATGGGTTTAGAGAAAGAAGTGGGAGGGAGAGAGAGATTTTGGGGATGAGTATTTCGGAGCAGAGAGTTAGACAGGTACAGGGTGGAGGAATGAAGGGAGAGATGATCAGAAAGAAGGGATGATTTGGAGTTGACGGGGGGGTGTACGGGTGATGAAGGGAAAAGCAAATTAAACAAAATGGGTTATTTCTATTTTTTTCACCATTTTACGCTGATATGACTCTTTGTGATGTGTAATGCAGAGTGTACATACAGTGTAACCAGATGTACGTTATGTAAGGATGAGCAGCGAGTATTGATTGGACCGTTATTAAAACAGGAAACCATCTCGAGCTGAAAGCAGCTGCAAGATGTTTTTTAGGTCCTCCTTTCGTCCTCATTTCGTCATCCTCAGAATAGCAATTTCAAGTGTGTGAAAATATGAATAGTACAGTATGTAGGCATCAATTTGACAGCTATGCACTGCATACCCCTATTATTGATCAACAATAATCTCTATATTCTTTAAATGCATCAGTGTCTGTGCATTTTTTTTGCGTTTGCTTCTTTGACAGAACATCCATGACACGTTCTCTCTCCCAGTGCATCAAATTCCACAGCTTGGTCAGTGCCCCACAGACGCATGGCGGCAGTGTTTAGCGTCTCCATGCGACGCACCTTTGATTTTCAAACAGCACTATGCATGTAACGAGTGAATGCACCATAGTTTGCGCCATAGTTTGCAGTTTAGACCGCTTAGAGCTCAGATCACTCACCAAGCTGCGGTATTTGACGCATGCTAACGTGCTAAACGTATATGGTGAACATAGAAAACATCGTACCTGCTAAACATCAGCATGCTGTCATGGGGGAATCGTGAGAGACAGATTATAAAGAGAATGGTCAAAATTGAAACAGTAGCTCCAAAAACACTGGATCCTACATTTCCCAGAATGCAACTGGATAGTGTCTTTCATCACACCCTCCCTGCCTAGTATACACCTGTGTCTTTCAAACTCCACAACCCGTTTGCAATGCTTTCTCTTCTCTTCTCTTCTGAAACTTAGCAAATAATATTCTCAGAGTAGTGCTCCTCGTGATGAGTAAACTGAACTTCATGTGATTTGTGGAGAATATGTTTTCTTTTTCCTAAACTTTAACTTTAACAGTTATTTTGTTTAGTCCTATGACTGGATAATTGCATTATCTGTCCAAGAAACATTTGGATTTGCATGGAGTGTGCATATTTATATCCAATGCTCTGTGGCATTCCTTGATTGTTTAAGAGAAGATTGTGTATGTGTGTGTGTGTGTGTGTGTGTGTGTGTGTGTGTGTTGTCCTCTATCACGTCAGGTGTTCCTATTGATAATTCAGGACCGGACCTCCCTTTATGGAGAGGTGTGTTTTGTGTGCACGGCATGTCCCCCGGCTCTGACGCAGGTGACCAGAAAAGCTTACAAAAATAAATTGAGCGTCTGCAATATGAGTGTGCAGATGCTTTGACTTCTTTGCATTTGTACTGTACTGTCTTGATTTGTGGTAGTGTACAATAGCGTGGGAAATTGTCATATAGTTACATGCACAAATTGCTTTCTCACTTTTTGAAATGGTGAGCACAAAAAAGATAAGTTGCCTCCAATGAAAATGTCACCGTTGCATTTCTGTTTTCACCCTCGGGGAAATGGAGGTCAAGGTGTCTAAACGAGGAAGCACGGTGCGTTTTTGTGCGACATTGAATAGAAACAGGAAAATGAAGACGATGTGTGCGAGTGTTGGTACGGTTTTGCACGCAGAGCGGCTGTTGTCACCCCATGAATTCTAAATAATCCTGTTGAATTAATGTTCATCTTGAACTAGATTCACAAAGAGCCTGCAGGTCTGTGATTTACTAGAGCAGTGTTGCCCCCTTCATTAGGAGACACTTTGAATATCCCGAACATGTTGAATATTTCATTTGATGATTTCACGGCATCTATGAATATTCATACTTTGGTTTTGTGTGCTTCCACTGACAAGTGTTAATGGGAAAATCCTAATCCTAAAACACATGTTCACATCAGTGGCGTAGCCTACTTGGCATGCAGTTTGCGGTCCTATTTGTTAAACTTTTCTCCTTCGCGGACAAGCAGAGACGGAGTAACAACGGAGTTTAACGGCAGTGATCTAAAGCATCAACAATAAAAGTCAGCCTCTTTTCTAGAGGCCCTGCTTCAGATCGATCATACAGCCGCTGTAGAAGGGGCAGTGCAGCCTGGCAGCATGTTACTGAGCATTTTGTATTAGTATTACCCAACCAAAGAATGTCAGTTAATGGCATTCTGGGAGTTGTAGTAAATCACTAACTGAAGTCGAAAAAGTTTTTTCCCCCTAGGGATCTGCATTCAGTGGTCCTTTGTTTGGTCAGTTGTCATGATAGCCACGCTAAAAAGCTCTTACGATCCTAAAGTACGATTTTTAAAAATATATCAAACTACTGTTTTCATGGTCAAGAATGCAACTTTCATGATCTACATTTAAAAAGAAGCTCAAATACATTTAGCCGGACAGAAGATTTACATCCCAGTGTGAGAGGATCAGTCCAATTAAACTCTAGATATCTTCTTTTCATAATGTCCCAGGCATTGACTCATTCTTTATTGTCTTGCAGATGTTTCTCATATAGAGGAGACAATGCAGATAACTACATTCATATGTTCTCTAAGTTCAGACATGAGAGCTGAGCAGATTTACACACAGAGGTACAGCAGAGAGAAGATCCCGCCTCGCTTCTATTAAAAAGCATTTTAGGAGTACAGTATGTGTGTGTGTGTGTGTGTGTGTGTGTGTGTGTGTGTGTGTGTGTGTGTGTGTATAGGAGAATGTTTTTTTCAGTGTGTGTGCGTGAGAGAGTGAGTAGCCTACTCCACTTGAAGAGCTGAAGAGCCGAGCAGGGCTGTGATCAGAGGGAAGCCCCTTAATGAGTTGATTCGGGCGAGGCTTTGATGCAGCTCTTCTCGGGGGACTCTGGGAAATAAAAAGGGAGGAGGTGGGATGGCAGAATGACCTTTAAACTTTTTCTTTGTCAGTAGACAAACTTACGCTGCAGGGCTACAATACAAAGAGTCAAGACATTACCTCATGCAGTGTGTTTGGGAAATCCCTTTTTACATTTTGAAGCGCTTTCTGAAAAATTCTGCATTCCTGAGAAATTATTATTATTATTATAGTCTCTTAGAATACATTTTCTTATGCTAGTATGTGTATAGACAACATATTATATATAATTTCAAGTCTTTATTATTATAATGTTAATACTGTGGGGAAAGAGTTGGGTACTGCCAGGGCTACAACCTCCCATCAGTCAATGTTGTCTGCACATATCAGAGAGCTGTTCTCCTGTTTCAGCTACAGGTCAACCCAAAGTGCCTCTCTGTGACTGTCTCAGGCAGTCGTTGGCATTTCTTTTTTTATTGCATGAGTGATCATTGTGCATTCTGACATACAGGTGAGTAACACGGCCGGGTCTCCACGTGTGTGTGCACGAGCACAGCATGAAAATCAAAGGTTATGCAGAGAGTTAGCCAGCAGTGTGAACCATAAACAGATCTACTGATCTACCATTAAAGTCCTATTCTTAACAAAGCTGCTGTTCTATTGCTGCACTGTGGCTCCACAACAGTAATATCAAATATAAAATAAAAACAGGAAGACGATGGAACACAAACATCAGCGTGTGTGTGTGTGTTTCACTCCTTTTATCATCTGTGGTCACCTGAAGCTCAGCCAGTGTTAACATGTAAAAACAGAGGCTCTCCGTCTATCTATTTATGTTAAATACCAATATATTTGTAATATGTAGTGAATAGTGTGTTCAATAAGCAAGAAGAGCTACATTCACCTGCAGAGGGCTCATTTCACTGCTCCGTAAATCTACAACTCCAATGTCGGTATTCTAATGAACTCAGTTTGATAAAGCCTTTGCTCATGCAAGTGTCTTTTAATGAATACCAATACGTTAATTCTGGCAATGCTTTATCTGCTTTAACACGGTCACGAGTGCACACTGGGGTCTGTGTTTTTCTTAGGGTGCAGCGTGTTCCTGCATGTGTGTGTGTGTGTGTCGGTGTGTGCTCTCATTAGTGCAGGTTTCAATGGACCACATTCTAATATAAAGCCTTTATACTCCAGGGAGCTGGAAAAAGGTAATTAAAAATTACCTTGTGAGGCATTGGGTGTGTGTGTGTGTGTGTGTGTGTGTGTGCGTGTGTGAGGTGGGGGGGGGGGGGGGGTGTATCTGTCATCTTCACATGATGTTTGGGCAGCGGCGTGTGCCCCTGCATTCACGTGCAAACACA